CCCTGTTGAGAATATCCATCGACCTTTGCAGGCTGCCACTTTACTGTGGGTCTCTTCCAAACTAGGAAAACGCCTGCCCTGTTGTATTGTAGCTGCGGCTTCTCTCTGTGGTCACCAAAGGGATGTTCTTGCAAAGGGAATGAAGGGGGAGGGAGGGGTGGAGAGAGGCAGCTGGAGCAGGCAGATGAGAGCAGAGGAGGTGGCTTATAAAGACTTCTAGGAACAATATACAGTGCCTTCCTTGGTAGCATATCAACATCCACAAATGCAGGACCACTCTCTGGAGTCCTCTCTATGGTTCAGCTTGTCTTGCCCATCTAAAACCAAGTGGTAAATAGTTCTGACGTAGGGGCAGGGAAGGAAAAGTTCAGAGTTAAAACCTGCTGTGCTGGTGTGGGGGGGGGTTTTAAGTTGTTAGTTTTCAAGGCAAGAGAGGAAACCCTTTCAGGGAAGTGGCAAGTAAAAGCAAATGCAAGTTAAAGATCAATCCTGCCAGCAAGTGGTTCCTGGAACAACAGCTGCCTTTTGCGTTAACTCCTCCATGTCAGGGCTGTTGTGTTCAGGGGCTTGCCTGGCTTCCTGTTGGCGAAGCAGGCAGCAGACCAATGTAGGCTGGGGAGCAGGGGGTGCCTTAGTCTGGGAAGTGGTTGAAGCTCATCTATCCAGATGCTTGGGCTCTGCTCCCTCGAAGCAGGTCTGTGTGGGTCTGGATGTGAGCATGCAGTCCTGCACTTCCCCATCAGGCCACTTCTTTTCTAGCCTGACCGTGCGAAGCCTGTTGCATTCAGCAGGGCACTAATGCAGCCTCTGTCTCCATTTCAGAAGTGCCTACCTGCCAGTCTTCGTACATGAGAGGAGGGGGCTACTTCCCCGGCAGCCATGATGGTGAGTTGTGCTCACGGGATGATGTGCATCAGGGAGGGGGCAAGGGCTGGCTGTGCACTCTTGGCTTGGACAGAAAAATGGGAACTGATGACTGGATGCAGTCAAGCGATAGTAGGATGCTGGCACTCTCAAAAGGGAGAGGGCCGGGGGGCAGGCTGGGTGAATGTGAGGGTGACTGTTGCCTGGCACTTCTTGCCCACTCCAGCCGCCAAGATCCTGGCAGGATCAGTACAGAGTTTTTCCTCCCTATCACTAACAGGAGAAATCAGAAGGGTACCTGGGGTCACTTCCCAGGCAGGTGGTTACCCAAGGAATCCCCAAAATGGCCACTTCAAAGCAGAGAGGTTTTGCACTGGCTGCCAGCTTGCTTCTGACATGCTTCACTCCAGCTCTTGACAGCAGCGGTGCTTGTGGGCGGGAGGCCTGAGGCAGCCTGAGTCCCACTGAGCATCACTGACCCTAGTCCCTAGGCAAGGCATCTGCATGGCACTGGTGGCCATGCTGGCCATGGCAGCTGATGAGTGGAGGGGCACCCCCTGACTCCCTCAGGCGCCACTGAAATGCATCCCAGGGAAGAGGAGCCTTCTGGGGCTGGGCTGCTGTGTAAGCAGGTGCTACTGCACTGCTACCAAACCCAACCAGCACCCGGCAGCAAGGTTCATCTCCCTGCAGCAGCAAGGCCAGGGCAGGTGCTCAGAGCAAGTGTTTGAATCTACATGGAGGCTGCAGTGTCTTTGCCCTGTGCTGTTCTCCCTGCTGAAGCGGCTCTCAACACCTCAGAGTAACGAGTGCTCGGTGCCAGCCTAGCAGCCGCCTGCCACCTGGCTGAGGCCTGCTATCACTCCTTTGCCACACCGGGTGCGGTCCCCCGAATGCCCATGAACGCAGATGGAGAAGCGAGCCAGCTTTGATTAGAGATCCAATCTGCCTCTCACCGAGGACTCCCATCTCCTCCTGCACACGCAGTTCAGCCCACAGGACACCTTCCTTCCTGCCCCCGAGCTGGCGGTGCTAGGCAGTGATGCTGTCTCTGCAGCTGCTAATAGCGTATCTCCATCCAACTGCCGCCTCACCGGAGCTAACAGACCATCCCAGCTGGGGGAAGAGAAACCGCATGGCTTCTCTCAACCACGCTCCCTGAGGGCTGCCTGCTTGGCACTCTGATTTAGGGAGGGAGCTACATGCTGTATGGTCTGAAGTGAGGTAACTTGCCCCCATGCAAACACAACAGGGGCTTTGGTTACTGCAACTGCTGGAGGGGAAGGGAGGGGAGGGAGGGGAGAACAGACCTGAACTGGGCTCCGGCAGCAGTGAGGGCTCCAGCTTGCTTGCTGACATGAACCTCTAGTCTAAAAAGATCAGGCTTGCTCTCTGAAGCCACCCAAGAAGGCTTGGGGAACAAGGCTTTAGGTTTGTTGGGAAGTTCCTTTAAGGATTTTTTTCCTTCAGAACCAGGGTTGGCCCCTAGGAGTTTCTGTTTTGGGGCTTGGGCCAGACTGGCATGGGGGTCACATTTGGTCTTAAAATTCAGAGGATGAATAAAATGGGGCTTCACCTGAGCATAGATGGGGTGCAGCCCATGTTCCTTGAGTTTTCCCATGTCCCATGGGCGGCTCTCCTGGCTGCTCTGGGTTGGGGAGGGCCATATAGGATGCTGCGCTTAGCTAACTGGCCTGCTTTTCCCTCTAGGGTTTTCCTATGACAAAGATGCCAGGCTGTACTTTGATGACACGTGTGTGGTGCCAGAGAGGCTGGAAGGTAAGCGCAATGCAATGGTGGGAATGTAGTGGGGTGGGTCAGGGAGCTGGCATGGCTTCTCCAGTGGTGGCAGGCCACCAGGG